ATTGTCTCCCTTTAATGGTAAGAGGTCAGCGAGGAACAGTTTATTTTGAAGAACGCAACACTTGATTACCTAATTTTTTGGAACGGCTTGACATAGGAGGAAGGCGTGGGAATTTTGCCCGTTTGAGATTTTTTGTGCAGCGTGATCTTATATTGTGCATCTAGTTTGGACCCGTGAGCTATATGTCTGGCCTGAAGAACTACAAGCGGCTGTATCCCAAAAAACAGGTATTCCTAGCTTAGTGGGGGATGTGCGGTCAGAAAGATTATACGCAACCACGTTGTAGGAAGGCACTGTAGGAGGTATTCAGCTTTAGTTAGTTCCTCGATGTTTGTATCATTATTTGATACCTAGATGTGCGTTTGGGATTCTAATTGGTTAAGCTTATAGGTAAATTGGGCGAGTGCATGTACCAGGTTTACTGTTGGTATACTAAATGAAGAGATGATAGGGTTATCATACAGAGTACTGGCCAGCAAATGGTGCAGAGTTCACAAGATTGTATTGGTGATCGAGTCGCATTTGACTATGATAACCATTAAATACTATTTACGAACCCGTAAATAGATCCACGGTAAAGATATATTTAATGGCCATTTTGAAAGAATACCGAGATCCTGCCCGAAAAGTTGGCGAAATTACGGAGATGGTGGAGCACACAGTGGTAGCGACCCAAACAGAAAGTTTGCGCGTAAAGAGTGATATAAACAAAAAGTCCAGTTAAACAATCACCGGTACAGTTGGTCACACCAATCGCGTTCTCTTCACAAAAGTTGATCCATTACAGTAGTCTCCCGCTAGAAACGGTTTACACTTCCGGACTGTAGCGGTTTCGTTCGGTGGACTGATCGGCAAAACGTGCGATAGTGGGACGGGAAGGTTGATGAATAGGAAACGATCCATGGTGCTCGGGTTGTCACCGAAAGTCTCTTACGAAGGGTACCAGTGGTAACGTGCCACGTTCGTTGCTCCAGTTAGCGTACCATGCCAGCGTGGATGGTATCCATAGTCTGAGGATTGTATTCGTAGCGGGCCGGACCAGAAAACGCTGCAGAGGTAGAACGGAACCAGAAACGAGCAGATGAAATGTGCCGTTTACAAGTTCAGAAGCTGGACATTGAATATTTGCCGTTGCAGCTCTGTAATTGCCACATGCTCTCCAAATAATACCGTCTATTTGCGAACAGGGTGCAGAAACGAGGCCGAAGGTCTGTGAGCAAGACAAAGTAATAAATATAACAAGTAAACTGCCAAACTCATGTTTAGCGAAAACTAATTTAAGATTATAAAAGATTCCCATTGTGAAAATTAGAACAACACATATAAGCGAACAATATTGTTTTCGATTAGATCGTCAGCAGACTTTATTCTAATGTACATAAATATTTATACGAAAATGTTTAACCAATCAAGGCAATTTGAGTCACTAATCACAATGAAGTGAAACAGATTACGTCACTACACATAATAGGCAAAAGTATAAGTTTATAGTAGGAAGATAGGTGTACTGATAGTAGTAAGAAAAATAAAATACGATTACAAAAGTTTTATCAATAGTAGGTCAAACGTGGTTAAATAGACTAGCAATAATCATCACAAAACATTAAAACCATTACGTAATAAGAAGTGCGTATATACTTATATATTGAAGAATATAAACGGAAAGAGGCAGAGAATTACCAACAAATACAGGATGTGAAAATAATACTAATATTAACAAAATAAAATTTAAAACCAAAAGGAAAAAATATTTTAATTCTTAAATCGTTAGTTACGTCATATCCGGCCACGGAAGAGATAGGGGTGTCACGAATTTCTTCTGAACATATGAATTCGGGTTGAGTGTACTAATTCCTATGGCTTCTGCTATGTGAAGGAGACTGGATCGAACTCCCTTGGAAAATGATTGAGCTATACGATAGACCACCCGAAAAGATCTAGACTTATCTTCAATATGACCACTATCTATCAGGTGTGCTAAGATCGAACTGCGTATTGTTTTTGACTGACCCTTCGTAAACCATGCTGGGAGATGTTCAATCATTCGTTGGGCAAGTTGCCTGGAAGTACGCCCGATATAGCTATCTCCACAGGAGCAGCTGAATTTGTAAATGCACATAGAGGAGGCCAACTCAGGTAACTTATCCTCCTTTTGGATAGACATCGCTTATCGACTTGAGAAGGTCAACGCAAGTTTGGCTGCACTGAATGTTCTACTAATCGCTCTCACTAATCTGTCCTGTAGAGCATAGCAGGCCACATATCCGCTGAATTGTAGTTTATTAAATAAATGCTTCTTTCGGACGGTCGAAATTACTGACTAATTTTTTACATCAACCATATACTTCCTTATGAATGAGCTGGGGTAGCTGATCTTGGTCAGCGAGCTGTTGATAAATTGCAGTTCCTGACTTAAAGTATCCACAGAACAGATCATTTTTGCTCTGCTAGTTAGACATCTAACCAAATTTCTTTTGTAGAGGATAGGTGTAAAACTACAAAAGTGAGTGTATTGGCAAGCACTGGGATTTTTTCTATATACTCTTCTACTTAGCGAGTCATCACTTCGCCTACTTAGTGCGACGTCAAGGAAGGTCAGCTTTTTATCGTACTCCTCTTCACCAATGAAATCACGGTACATAAAAACCCTCAAACAATTGCCAACTGACTATAATTAGACAGTCGAGTGACTTGACTTTCAGTCATTGGACTCTACCAGACGCCTGGAACCGTATCGGAAGAACTGGAATGGAGCGCGAATCAATCGATTGGTGTATGCTAGCTCATGAAAGAAATGTTGGATATTGGAGGCACACCCGAATCATCTGTTTACGCTCATGTCCAAAAGAAAACCTACTAATCAAGGGTTGTGTTCTCTAAAAGGACCGGACGGGGAAGACCTCACCAACATAGAGATGGCTGAGCAGTTAAACCGGGCGCCTACATGTTCAGAGTACTACGCCAACCCTCTGCCAGCTGACGGTTTAGGGCACATCCGTATCACTCCTGCCTTAGTACTAACGAAACAAAGATCCTTACGCCCAAGTAAGTCACCAGGTTGTGACAAAATCCGCTCTATAGTCTTGAAACAATGTGCAGAAGTCCTCTGTTCACTGATATGTGACCTGTTCAGGCATTTACTGGAGTCACACCAATTCCCAGCCGAATGGAAACAAGCTAATCTCTCCAATCTTCAAAGGAGGAGACAGAAAGGACCCAGCCTGTTACAGACCAGTGACACTACTACCAATATTACCGAAGGTTATGGAAGGACTAGTGGACGAACAAATGAGGGAGTACATGGATAAGAATAAAATACTCTGTGAAGCTTAACACGGGTTTCGGAAAGGCAGGTCGTATGCATCTAATCTTCTCATTGCATAGGACAGTTAGACATCCTGTTTGGACCGTAAAATACCGGTGCACGTAATATTTTTCGAATTTTCAAAAGCCTTTGACACAGTACCCCACGCACGCCTAATCAAAAAGGTTGTGGAAATGAGCTTCACCGACCCACTCCTATCATGGCTCAGAAACAGCCTAGAGAGTAGAAAGTTTCGCACCAAGGTGAACAGAGTGCACGCGAGCTGCGAGTATCCACATCGGGAGTTTCACAAAGGACCATCCTAGGCCCACTTCTCTTTCAGATATTTATTAACGACCTGTTAAGCTTAGTTAGCTCACCGACATTGATCAACGCAGACAATGCGAAGATCTGGAGGCCTATTAGAAGCGAAGAGGATTCGACTGAGCTTCAAAAGGACCTTACATCTATTGAGAAATGGGCAGCATAAAACGGCTTAAAACTCAAACAAAGTGCCACGTCAAGCATATTCAGTCTCACACGACGCAAACGATCTATACCCTCAATGGAAGTCCGCTCCCTAATATTTCCTCAGAGCGCGATCTTGGTTTAATAACCACAGAAAGCCTCCACACCCGTCCAAACTATGTAGAGGACGCAGCCAAGGCAAATGCGACTCTTCACTTTATGCGAAGACAAGTTGGTGCTATCACCCCGAAATTATTTTAAACCTTGTTTAAGATGTACGCGCCCACACTTGGAAGTTCACAACATCATCGCACCCCCTCTGCTCAAAAGAGACATTAATCTCTTTGATCGAGTGCAGAGACGAGCAGCCAAATGGGTGATAGGGTTGAAAAATAAACCCTATGACGATAGACTCCAGCGCTTGGGATTATTTCCATTGAGCTACAGGAGAACCACAGGCGATCTGATTATGGCGTACACCATATTAAACATGCCAAACCATCCTAATGTGAGCATCTCACCGATGCATCACCACCAATCCCTTGGAGGCAATCCTCGAAAGATTGCACATCAAAGAGCGAATACTCAGATTTGTGCACACTTTTTCTCATTGCGAGTCATCGCAACTTGGAATGCTCTCCCAGCCCAGGAGCCCACAGCCGCTCAGTAGACAGCTTTAAGAAGACGCTTGATAATCACGTACTCACATACGAACTATCATCTCCCTCTTGGACAAGCTGTTCATGATGCATATCTTGAGACCTGCTAGTTGTTATCATTGCCATATCCTCAGATCACTCAATTAATCTAGCTCGCTTATTATCTCTGTTTCCTCTCGCTAGCTGACACTTCGGTCCTCTCTCACAATCTTCACTAACAATGAACAAACTAAATTCATCTATATATTACTCAGTTCTGAAATTTTATTCATAATGGCATTAGAATTTTATCCTTATTATCCTTATCACTCTCCACACTGCAACTAACGGATCTCCGGTCTGGCAATGTGACGGCTGCTGGTATTCAGAAACCCTACTGCCCTGAAACAACCGTTTTCATTCAAATCCCGAGACGTGCAAACTCACAACCAACTACCAACTGACTAGAATTAGACAGTCGAGTGGCTAGACCTCCATTCATTGGACATTACCGAACACCTGGAACCGTACCGAAAGAAAAAGAATAGAGCGTGAAGAAATCAAAGTGGTTTACACCAGCTCGTGGAAAAGATATTGGATATTGGGCGTCTTAAGCGTTGCGCTACTTTGGTTTTCTTTTCGTAAATCCGTGGCTTTCAATACCCTTAGTTAATAAGGTGATGTTTTTGATTGTATAAAATAAACCCGAATATTCTCCCTAATTATAGTTTATTGCGTAAACAAGTTTTTCCTCATGGACAATACTCAAATCTAGCCTTTACCGGACCTATGTTTATTAAACAAGCCGCTTTATCCCCAAATTTATTTACTCGCTTTAAAAAACAGATACATTTGGAAAACATTTTGTGAATCGCATTATTTTCGGACAAAGCCTTATGGAAGTTCTTATCTGTTCATCCTCCACCTTTCTTCCTAACATGGGCAGTCGTAGTTCTGTGACATCTTATTTGATGTATAAAGTAACAAGGAGTTCTGGTTAGGTGATAACGCTCTAACAATGATGGGATCCAGTGGAGTAGGGACAAGCCGGAGGTGTTATGTCCAATTCTATAGTTCTATGCTTCATTCGTCTGCTTAAGAAAATGCTGTACCAAATGACTCGATTAAAACCTATCATTTAGATATCAGAATCGACAACAGGTATCAGGTGTTTCATAACCAACTTTTTATTACCTCCTCCATTCTCATAATAGACTTAAGCATTTCGGAAATTCCCCCATAACTTCAGCTGCAATTGCTCTCATGAGTTAATAGTAACATGTTGTTAGTCAGTTAGTCATATGCTCCTTTAAACCTGACAAATATCCATCAGTTCAGATTGCGACGCAACGCTAGTATATCAAAATAAACTAACCTGGGACTGTACAGAGACAGCAAGAATCGAGCTCAAAAAAGTTAAATGTTTTATACTAGTTCGATGAAAAGATATTGGATATTGGAGGACAAATTTAAGTAAAGTCAAAAACAGCCTAGAACTTCGTACGTACGTGCATCAATTCAAGTTGCAGTCGGTGGTTAGGCATACGCATCACATGTCCCAACCACCTCAACCAGTGAAGTTTCATTACTTCATCTATTGACCTGCCATCCTTACTTAGAACCCGTTTCCTAATAACACCATTGCTTACTCGGTTGTCCCACGATAGTCGAGCAATGCTTCGAAGATACCTATGATCGTGAACCAGTAACCTACGAATATCTTCTACTCTTACTGGCCATGTTTCGCATCCATATAATAGGAAGGAGCAGACTGCTCCGCAGTAGACTCGACCTTTGGTTAGCAAACGGATATGTCACCTACGCCATAAATGACGCAAGTTGGCAAAAGCCAATCGAGACTTCTGTATCCGCGTTTAGATTTCGTCAGACACCATGCCATCAGCACTGATGAGACTCCCAAGATCAGTGAAGTGGTATACACGCTCAACTACTTCACTCCCTATCACTAGTTCAGGTGCCGATGCAACCCAATCCTAAAGCATCACTTAGCATTTCGACAGGGAGAATCGCATTCTGAACATGCTTGCATTGTTGCTTAGGGTAGTCAGGAGACACTGCATTTGGTCAACGTCTTCATCAAATAGAACTGTTATCAGCATTCTCTAAGTAAGCAAGCGTGTCTCCTGTTAACTCTATAAGAATGTTTATGGCAAAGTTAAACAAGAATGGAGAGAGGCTAACGCCCTGACGAACACCACTTGAAGTAAAGAATTCTGATGACAGTTCGCCATAAGCCGTCATTCGACCAGTGGTGTTCGAGTAGAGAGCTTGTTTAAGGTCAATGACAGGCACTGCCACAGAACCTCACGATCAACAGAATCGAATGTCGCCTTAAGGTCCAGGAATACAACTGTTGTCGGACGCTTCAATGTGTGTCTATGTTCGTTTGCAATGGCGCAGATGCATCCACTCGTTGTGCTCTATGAAATTTTAGTCTTCTGCATTCGTCATCACCTCTTTCTTTCTCTTTCTAAACATATCACTGAGTTATACTTTCGAATATCTTCATTACTGCTAATACTTCCACTATCTCTACCACTATGGGATTTGAACTGACAGTTGCGTCTCTGTGCCAATGAGGTATGGCAACCTGAACTTACGTGCTCATGTACGAAGTTCTACGTTGTAACTGACTGTTTAACTGTGTCTGTGTTCCAGGACCTCTCGTAGTGTGAAAATGCGGTCTATACAGCCACGTCCAGATCTGAAACTAGCCCTGTCTTCTGGAGTCTGCTCTTCATGAGCTCTATTTAGGCGTCTAAGTATAATTGAGGCTAAAAATTTAGAAACTATATTAGTTAGACTGATCCCTCTGTGATTGTCACAAAAGGACCTTTGTGCTTTCTTATAAATTGGGACAATCAGATATAGAGACCGATCGGATGGGATTACGCCCAATTTCCAAATTCTACCTAAGATCTCAGTCAATCTAACTGTTAAAGCTGAACCACTATCCTTAAAAATCTCAGTAGTAAGCCTATCAGGACCCTGCTGATCTCCCTCGCTTCAGATTTTCTCATAGCTTTCTTAACTTCGGAAAGAGTCGGACGACTTATGTCGATTTGTCATTCAGGATGACTGGAGATCGTGGGCAACCGAATTGTGGCTGAAGGCCAGTTGAACTGATCTCTGAAATGTTCTAACCATCGATCCAATCTCCTGGGGTTGAGAATGAATGATACAGCCATCCTTTTCTGAGATAGTTTCACTTACACTAAGATTCCTAATACCGGTTTCCTTGGTAAGTCTGAATAGTTGTCTACTACTGCCTATCGCCGCTGCATTTTCCATCTCCCTTGCTTTCCCTACCCACAACTGTTCACGATCATTGCGTAGGCTTTTTATCAACCTGTGCCTAAGCTGACTCCGATCCTCATCTCACTCAGAGTTTTTGAACGTGTATGGTACTGAAATTCACGGCTTCTTCCTAGCGTTATGGTTTACCTTACTAGCAGATATCACTGCTGATTCCACAGCCTTTTTGATATCATTCCAAGCTGCCTCGGGGTAAGCATCACTTACTACATGGCTGCCTAACTGTTTTTCTAGTTGTTCCTAAAACATATTCTTAGCTTTGCTGTTACTGAGTGAAACCTTAAGAAGTTTCCTTGCAGTATCTTCTATGTCGAATAAGATTCAGGCAAACACGCGTCCGCACTAGAGCATCATCTAAATCTAAACATGTCATCCAGGTGGCGCTGTGATCTAGTTGGGTGCAATGTTGGGATGATTTTGGGGGTCCCCAAGTCAAGAGATGTGTTTCCTTATGCTTAAAGTTAGTGTTTGCTAGAAATAGGCAGTTATCTGAGCATAGTTGCAACAGACGGTCGCCATTATCCGATCTTTGAGCTGCGACACCATAAGATCCACCTAGGTGTCTTTCCTTTTCATCTAGTCTACCTAATTGAGCATTAAAGTCACCAGCCATCATTACTATATCCGAGTGCCTAACTTTTTGAAGAAGGTTAGAGTGGTTTCTGTGAAACTCATCTTTAACCTCGTGTGAACTGAAGTCAGTGGGAGTGTAGGCAGATACGAAGAAGAGGCAACAGCAAGTGTCTCTATCTTTCTGAATCCTTACTGTCTCGTTTAGTCGGACAGCTCACAAGCAACTGTCTAATGGGGTCCAGTCTAAGAGAGGACTTAGTGCTATAACTACACCACCAGAAAGGTCACAGGAAGCAGAGGCGGGGCTTCCAGATACACGAAGCATGTTCGATCTGGTTCTTTATTTTGACATGGTGAGGTCAAATGAATGACGCTACTTGGATCGGAGACGTAGCATACATCGATGGCGCAAGATTCTAAAGTCCTAGCTAAGGAAGTCTGTCGCTCTGTTTGACATAGTTTTCGGACATTAAAAGCTCCAACATGTAGTTTGAAACGGGGTTTCAGAAGACCAGGAATAACGTTTCGGGAGCTCAAACACTGCTTCAGCGGCGCGAGGTGACAAACGATCGAAAGAAGGTTTGGTCGCGGAGATAAGAGAGTTATTAGGAGGTATAGAAAGGATTTGTTTGTGACCCATTCGGTCTCATGTTGTTATGGGTATGGTGGCAGATGTTACTTCCCGGTTGCCCACACGGTGGAAGGGTGTTTCTTGGGAAACTTGAAAAGGAAGGTAGATTAGTGTCGGTCTCAGAGACCTGGAAGCGTGACCACAGAGCCCAAGCGACAACTGCTTGAGGCCGGTCACGCACAGCCTTTTTATGAGAAGTTTTTAAAGTATTAGCTCCGCTCTTGTTTAGAAGCCCTTACCGCCGGAGACGGAAATCTATGAGGTAGGGTGAGGTGTGACTACTTTACGATTGATCTTCTCTAACCCCTCCGTTCCTTGTGAGAAGGCATCATCGCTGCAGACGCTGGTTGTCAGAGGGAGACACCTTACTACTGTCACACCCCTCTGCAGTCAGCAGTACGGCTTTATCCTCAGATATTGAGTTGTTGCATTTAGTTTTATTGTTCTCCAATCGACTTACCTGGCATGGTGGAACCTACAGGAATATATGTTCCAGCTAATATAGCTCGGTTGAGTCATCACAATAGGCAAGCTCAACCACCACGTCAAGGTAACAGCTACGGTCGGGCAAGTCGTATTAACGAATCCCAAAAAACATTTCCTTCGATAGAAGCGATTTAAGTGAGATAACCTAGTTTCCATAACTTTGATTGGTGTTAATATTCGGCTTCCCAAATTGAAATGGATGTTGTTGGATCTGAAAGCCAAATGCCTTAACCACTAAACTATCGTTTTATATATCATCATAATATATTTAACTATTTGCGTAGAACAGTAGTGGTTTATCAGCTATTGAATCTATGTACTTGCTACACTTATTAAAACAAAATGCATAGTATCACCGAAATCAGGATCAAAAACTTATCTTTTGTAGTACCATTTTTATTCCTAATGCTTCAAACCTCTCGTCTCTTTTCAAAAATGCAAATTCTAGCTCCCTAACTTTAATTTAATAATGCTACAATCTTCTGAATTCCTATATAGCAACACAAGTCTCTGTAAATCCTATTAATTTTCAGATAATTACCTTTAGTCATAGTCAACTTAAAACAGCAAAAACATGCATTAGTCCAAGTTGTCACGCCTCTCTAACAAATAAATAATGATCTTTGATTATATAGAAATATGTGCTTCAATTATTTAACGTTGTCATGGAACTGCTTCACATTTGTTTTCTAGGAATTTCATGGTTTTTTGTTCATCAAAGAATGCGTAAATTTTACTCAACGTCATAGTTGGTGATCCAAAATTGACATTTTGTTTTTAGGAGTTGTTCTCTTCTGGACAGGTCCTTTGGAATCTGTTAAAGACTCTACTACTCTTCTCGTAAAATAAGAACCATTCATTCGTGTTTACTTTACTCATGATATGGCATGAATTTTTAACCCTGGGCATCAAATATCTTCGATTACACAAGCTGCCAGCGATATTGCTTAAACAACCGAAAGTATTCTTGGTAATCGAACATTTGAATTATAACTTCTCCCTAGCTTCCAAAACATTCTACACAGTATCTTCGTGTCAGTTCAAATTTCGGACGTTTATCCAAATATATTGGCAATTATTCACAAGCTAACTCATTGGTTAAAACAATATATAAATCGATTATTAGTGGTAGTACTCAGCAACGATCAAATTCATTATTAAGAATATATAGAGGTTTCGCTGGATCTGTTCAGTTAAGGCATTACGCAACTAGCAGACCTGAGTAAGTATGCTTCTTATCAGTACTTTATTCATAGTTTAAGAAGCATGGTTTCCCCTTATTATTTTTGTTTTAAACTTTGGTGTATATGAAATGTATTGATTGATTTGAGAAAATTCCATCCCATACTTTCGGTTAAACTTAGATCGAAAATAAATGGTTGCGATTTCAATGCAAAAAAGCCTAAAAACGCCAGTACTACTCTAACAAAATTCATAGAAGTAAAGATAAAAAAGGTTACGAGCAAAACAAGCATATTTGTGTATATCAGTTGCTCTAACTAAATTCGTCTTCATCACTGTTACGCTTCCTTAAGCTAACCGGCCAGTACGAATTATTTGTACTTACATTTTGGCCACACTTAGTGTTAAGATTAATGATACTACCTCTCTATTCATTCATTCAGTCAGCTACAACGTAGAACTTGGCATGTACATTCATCGGTTCAAGTTATACCACATTCACGTAAAAAGATCGAATTGCCAGTTCAAATCCCATTGTAGAAGTATTAGCAGTAATGGAGAAGATGAAGGATCAAAGATATGATTCGAGAAGTGTAATCCAGTAAAATAAATTTAAAAAGAGAAAACTGTCATGAGGAATTCAGAGTAAATTTGGGAGAACACAAAGAGTGGAAGCATATAAGCCATCGCAAATAATTTTGATCCATGTCATTCAAGGTCTCTAACTACCAGTTATGATTGTATCGCCGACCACAAATACGTGGTCTACACCCACTAACATGGCTCAGTCCAATTGTCATTGACTTCATGGATTTGTGCCTTGTGTTCGTTTGGCCGCCCCTAGCCTACTTTCAGCCTATCCCTACATCACAAAACATCGCTTGTCGAGGCAAATAATGGTTAGGCATTCGTAACACATGCCCCAACCACCTCAACTGATGAACATTCCTTTCTTCATCTATTGATCTGCCATCCTTACGTAGGACCCGGTTCCTAACAACTGCATCGATTTTCCCGGGATATAAAAGCAATTTTTCGGTGACACCTATGATCAAATAATAGTAACCTACGAATATCTTCTACTCTTACTGGCCATGTTTCGCATCCATATGATAGGAAGGAGCGGACTGCTCCGCAGTAGACTCGACCTTTGGTTAGCAAACGGATATGTCACCTACGCCATAAATGATGCAAGTTGGCAAAAGCCAATCGAGCCTTCTGTATGCGCGTTTAGATTTCGTCAGACACCATGCCATCAGCGCTGATGAGACTCCCAAGATCAGTGAAGTGGTATACACGCTCAACTACTTCACTCCCTATCACTAGTTCAGGTGCCGATGCAACCCAATCCTAAAGCATCACTTAGCATTTCGACAGGGAGAATCGCATTCCGAACATGCTAGCATTGTTGCCTAAGGTGTTCAAAAGACTACATTTTGCCAGCGTCTTGACCATCGGCATATCCTAAGTCAATAAGTGAGTCTTCTGGTAGAAGGTGACCTCCTGGACAGTCAGACGATGGAAGTGTTGTCTATAAAAGCATGTCGTAGATGATATTCAATAAGATAAGAGAAAGCAAACATTCTGATAAACACTACTTGTCATAACTACTAATCCAAAATAATAACGATCTTATTTTCAAAGTTATGGTGGGATGAGTAATTCTTTAATATGCTAATTTTCTACATAGCTAGTAGATAGCTATTTTAATATTGTTAATGAATAGTCGACCAATCAATAAATTATAACCTATTTATTAGACAATATCTCTACGTGATTTAAAAAGACTGCGTTCGATCTTGTAATGATTGGCCTATGTCATAAAACGTTTTAAGTTCACGTCAAGTGGTAAATTGGTTGTTAAAACATTGCGCCTCCACTCAATGTGTCTCATTTGAGCCTCAATCCATCAACTTCAATTTCATCAAATAGTTAGTATCACTAGCCCTTTTAATTTAAAATTACCTTTAATCCTGAATGAGTTGCATTATAATTTGTAATAATTTATTTCCTGGTTTGTAATAAGTAGTAGTTGTAAACTGAATAAAATATTTAAAACCACTTCTCCGTTAAAATAAATGCTTTGTTTCTCCTAATATTTATCAAGTTTTTCAAACAACTTTTTAGTTATTCTTTTCATCCTATCAACAAAATTTATAAACCGAAACATGAATCTTGGTTTTCGAATATCTTCGCCACAAACAAGTATCAAGTATTACCTAATTTGTGTACGAATTCGGCGGACTCAATAAACCCGAAAGAGTTTATAGCAGCAGGATGTAACAGTGCTGTATGGGCAGCTGAAGTTCGTCAACAATATCCAAATGATCATGGTAAATGAAAATTCGATTATATATATTTATACACTTTAAAGCTTGTGGAAATTGTTGTGTAAAGATAGTTTACATTACTATTGATTTGGGATATAAAACTGTTAGAAAGTAGCAATCACTGAATAATGATTCTGTTCTAGCATAAGACCACAAAAATGTTGATTTACAACCCCGTAACAGATCAAACCCAGAGTTTTCAAGCATCTTAGTGAGCATATCACTGTGATGCCACTTAATTGGTTTCTAATAGTCCACATCTCATCTAGTCATTTCACCCATATAATAGCTATGTCACAACCTGCCTGGTTGATATCTATTAGTCGTGGCTTCTCATCAAAACTTCGAAATTCACCCTCGATATCAGTTACCGGTGAATAACTTATCGGGATAGAAAGTCTGTAAAGAGCGCAGGGATAAATCATTAATGTGGTAGTTGTAGGTGCGCACTGTTGAGAAGCGTCACTCAAGAATTGCCCCTATTTTTCAAAACTTGACTAGATAAAGTCACTACGTTATGTGAAATCTACCTACCTATCTTAAGAGGAGTTTTCTGGGGATGATTTAATTTTAATCACGAGCTGTATTCAAAATAGAGGTCGCTCATTGATTAGAATTTCATAGAGCACAACGAGTGGATGCATCTGCGCCATTGCAAACGAACATAGACACACATTGAAGCGTCCGACAACAGTTGTATTCCTGGACCTTAAGGCGACATTCGATTCTGTTGATCGTGAGGTTCTGTGGCAGTGCCTGTCATTGACCTTAAACAAGCTCTCTACTCGAACACCACTGGTCGAATGACGGCTTATGGCGAACTGTCACCAGAATTCTTTACTTCAAGTGGTGTTCGTCAGGGCGTTAGCCTCTCTCCATTCTTGTTTAACTTTGCCATAAACATTCTTATAGAGTTAACAGGAGACACGCTTGCTTACTTAGAGAATGCTGATAACAGTTCTATTTGATGAAGACGTTGACCAAATGCAGTGTCTCCTGACTACCCTAAGCAACAATGCAAGCATGTTCAGAATGCGATTCTCCCTGTCGAAATGCTAAGTGATGCTTTAGGATTGGGTTGCATCGGCACCTGAACTAGTGATAGGGAGTGAAGTAGTTGAGCGTGTATACCACTTCACTGATCTTGGGAGTCTCATCAGTGCTGATGGCATGGTGTCTGACGAAATCTAAACGCGGATACAGAAGTCTCGATTGGCTTTTGCCAACTTGCGTCATTTATGGCGTAGGTGACATATCCGTTTGCTAACCAAAGGTCGAGTCTACTGCGGAGCAGTCCGCTCCTTCCTATATGATGCGTATGCCTAACCACCGACTCCCTCGTCGAGCTATGTTTTGCGATATAGTAATCGGTTGGACGAAAGCTAGGTGCGGCCAAACTAAAACATGGCAGAAATCTTTGAAATCACTGACAAGTGGATTGAGTCATGTTGGTATGTGTCGACTACCTGGTTAGGGTTTTCGAGATGATAGTAATCGATGGTTAGAGACCTTGAACAACATGGCTCAAAACCGTTTTCAGTTGCGCATGTGTATTCACTCTTTGTGTTCTCTCAAATACTAACCTTCAAATTTCTTCATCACCTTTATCCTGTTTCTTTTTTAGTTCGTTTCAGTAGATTCTCATTCTTGAATAATATCTAATGCTAACCTCTCCGACTACTGATAATACCTTTACTACCTCTACTGCTATGTGGTTTGAAGTGACAATTGCATCTGTGTGCTAATGTGGAATGACAACTTGTACGTATAACAGGAGTTTTGTGTTGCTGTTGATTGATTGATTGATGGTAGTAATTGACTGTTTCATTTGAATCATGAGCCGATCTAAGTTAGACCATCATCGAGAACCTGGCAGTACTGGACAGCCATTTCTTCCTAGTATCGGACTGCTCGCCAGTATTCATCCATGATCCCGCATGCTGTAATTAAACCCGGGAAAGGTGGTCTCGCGCGAATGTTTAGGCTCTAGACCACTGAATCGGGAACTAACAGTATTGGTGTCTGACTAATCAATCCAAAGCATTTCTTACCCATCTTCCACTCTGTTTCGTAGGTAATTGACACACACCCGACCCGACGCAACTCTCCTGATCACAGCTTCTCACCAGTACTCAAAACTTTCTTCTCTATGCTAGTCCCTAGTGAGCACTTGATGATCTGTCTATTGATGTCGTCGTAGTACTGTTTGTATACAGTGGTGCAACCAAATAAGTAGTGAGTTATTAATCCTATATATATATATATATATATATATATATATATATATATATATATATATATATATATATAGAAAAATGAATCTATTTCTTGACTAGTAATGCGCAATTGTCCTTTTGGACATTTCTGATAGTCATCAAATGTCTTTCCCATTTGATCAGTCCTGATTGGCTCACTATATCACATTGATATAGTGTCTTTAAATACTTTAATAATACTTATTAAGTTCCTATATTTCCCTAGACCAGTTTCATTAATATCATTTTTTTTCTTCTCGTAATCTACAATTTAACAGAATCAATTGATAAATTTGCTGTAAAAGTACTGTATAACTATTACACGAAGTCATCTTATGATAGACAATCTAATTTAAACAATGATTATAATTCATTTCAAAATATTCCTGAAAGTTGGGTATTACTACATCGTCAAATTCAAAGAGAATGTGAGCTTCGTCCTCAAACTAATCATCCTAACATTGTACCATTAGTTGGATATTTTATTGATCGTGCGCCTCAAATTCATTCAATAAATGATGCATGTGTTCATACTGATAATTATAATGAACTTCACAATACTCTATCTTCTAGTAAAGTTTCACAGGTTAGTGTTCATAAGCCTGTTCAATCAAAATGTTGGCCAAGTATAGAAAACTTTTCAGAAGGTTTTGACAATCGACCGTATACATTCTACATGTTAATGCCAAGGTAAGTATTTAATGATTTACTCTTAATAATATTATGACTACTGTTAATCATGTTTGCCAAGATAAAGCTGTGCATTGTCTTTATCTTGCTTTTTCCAAACCATGCTGGGAGATGTCCACTCATTTGTTGGTCAAGTTGCCTGATAGTACACCCAATATAACTATCTCCACAGGAGCAGTTGAATTTATAAATGTACATTGAGAACGCCAATTTAAGTAACTTATCCTCTATTCGACTAGACATCACTGAGAGATTAGACAATGCCAACGCAAGATTAGTTGCATAGAATATCCTACTAATTACCTCCGCTAAGTTTTCATGGAGGATATCACTAGCCACGTTCCGACTGAGTTATCGTTCTAGGAACAACATCTAGGTCAACATCTTCGACTTGTTTTTTTCATTTCTTCAAGCAACCAACCGGACAATTGATTTAATGTAGCATAGCATTGGTCATATGATAATAGTTTATTATTCATTGTAAAACGCCTTCACTCTTATCCTATTTATAATATATTTATACGATAAATGAATTGCATTAAGTTTCAAACAAATGATTCCTACTAATTAAATCATTCTCATCACATAGTAGTATATTTTGAATGATTTCACTTTAATTGTTTTCATTATTTTCTATTTTAAAGATTTGAAGGAACTTTAGACGATCTCTTACAAGGAAATTTACAATTTAACTATGAACAATTACCAACTGAAATCAATGACGAAAAGATTATTGAATTTAGTCAAAATTCACACAGTAATGCTAATCTTTTGCATATTAATCAACATGAAAAGAATTTTTTTATTTCTAATACTACTACTACTAATAACAATAATAATAATACTAATACTAATTCAAATGATTTTTCCTCGTCAAATTTATTCAATTCAGTATATATTAAACATGGTAAAATGTATTTATCTATAGATGACATTGTAACTATACTTGTTCAATTATTTGAAGCAATCGCTGAACTTGAACACAATAATATTGCTCATAGAGATATTAAACCAAATAATATACTTATACGTCAACGTATTCCATATTATAAAATTCATCGAATTTCTAATATGAATAACACTATACGATCTCATTTAAATTGGTTAAATGGTAAGTGTGAATTCATCTCTACATGTTTACGCCTCCACCCCCCCTCCCTCAAATCAATTCATCAATTTGTATCATTATATTTTATCGAAATCAAAATGCGGTTGATGCTTTTTGATCAAGTTGCATGGATAGCCATTCTTTTGGAAGATAGTCACAAGATATTTTCGCTCGTTTTTTAGTGCTTCACATGTGCTACAGTGTATCTTCTCTCTCTTGAACAAAGTTTGTATGCAGTTGATTTTGTGGGTTCTTCGGTTGTTGCTACTATAGTTGAGAATTAAGTCTGTGTGGGTTGGCTTCCGAAATACTTGAGTTTCCAGTTTTCCTGTGTTAGTTCTGGTGATTAATACAACCAGGAATAATACACTGTTGTTTGATTCCTGTTCCAGCGTAAATTTGATGTCATCGAAGACGTTGTTGATCCGGTTGTAGATGTTCTCCAACTCGTTCCTTCTGATAATGACAAGAGTATCGTCAACATAGCGAACCCACGTTTTTGGCTTGATCACTAGTAAAACCGACGCTTCTAGTCTCTACATTATTCATTGCGCGTTTCGTCGCATTTTAGGCTCGTCAGTTGGATTTACCCGCATCTCATAGTTGATTCCACCGTTTGCTTCAAATACCATCGCGTTACCGATTTAGCTGCTGAGTCCAGATTGCCGACCAAGACTGATTGAATTTCAGTAAAAATATCAACAACAGGATAATCCAAACCATATTAAATTGAACTACATCTCATACCTGTTGCACAAGTGAATAGCTATTTGGACTCGGTAACTAAGTTAACAACTCGATAGCGTTTTAAGCAAACGGTACTGGGTTTGAATCCCACTGTGCAAATCAACTCTGGGATGTGACAGGCACATCCAGCCGACGAGTCCCGAATAGGACGAAACGCGAGTTCTGGATTCTGTCTATTCTATCTCACTTCGTATATATTGTTAGTCCTAATTAATTTCTTGTTTTTGCTTATAATAATCTTATTTAGACAAAAAATTACAAATGACTAATTCACATTTTCATGTTGCATTAACTGATTTCGGATGTGCTATTCGAACTGGACATCGAAATCATCATGCTAACGATAATAATAATCATGAATATCCTAATCATAGTGGAAATTTAGCACTTTTAGCTCCAGAAATAGCACAAATTATTCATTCATCCATAGATGATGATTCAAATAATCCACATTCTATGATCACTAATAAAGATTATGCACATTCTGATTTATGGGCAGCTGCTACATTAATTTACCCATTATTTGGAATACCGAATCCATTTGTTGATGGAGTAAGTACTTCAAGTTAAATTTTCAAAATGTATATGAATAAAGAAAAGAATACATTTTACTAGCAAAAATCTTATCCTTAGAATTCCATTTGCAAAACAAGCAGATTATTGTCTGTCTTCTAGTCTATAAAACACTGATCGCGCCACACATCCAGATCCGACACTGTTACAGCAGCAACTTCTGGACAGCACTCCGCTGCATACTACTCAAAAGTCACGTTGCGAATAATATACACCACACTACAGCAGCTTATTTGTGTAATATTCTCAGTGGTTTACTCTGTTTCGCGAATTCATACTTCCAGGCAGAAGAGGAAAATTTTTATTAAAATATCATAAACTAGAAAACAAAACAGTTTTAATAAATTATGGCTTCTCGTATGTAGTTTTATGGTATTGTGCATATGTTTATAGCTATATGAGTTTCTAAGTCTTAATAGTACAAAATATTTGGTGGCCTTTCCTGATGTTATTGTTGATAGATTGAGAATGGATAACAACTTTATGTGAGTAGACGAGCGCTAGTACATCCAATTGTTGGGATTGCCCTTACTGATGTAGGGGTCAATGAAAAAAACTTAGAAACAACTTCCCAGCCAAACTTATGTCATTTGACCAAATGCAGTTATTATTTCAGCAATAAACAGAGCTTATTTAAAGAAGCTCAATAACGTGTCATTAAAATTTCAGCTGCAAAATAATCGACTTACTCCCTATGCGTGTCGTACACTTGATACTTGGCTAACTTCCGTATAAAGAAAGAAATTCCGAAACTAAACCGAAGGAGAATATTCAATACTCTTGTTCTGGTTTCTAGTGAACTGAAATATTTAAGTTAATATAAAATTCGCTACTTTGCATCTTATAAAATTTTAGATTTTCTTTTGACCTGATCAATCGAATGATTTATTTATTTCTACTTGTTTAGACACTTTCTTCAGTAAATTATACTGAGGATTCTTTGCCTGAACTTCCTAACGAAGCACCAAAAATAATGACATGGATTTTACATAAATGTCTTAAACGTAATCCATCCGAAAGGCCTAGCGCTGATGAGATTGCAGATATTTTGCATACCTGGTGTCTTATTCGACATTTTCACAATAGACAAGAAGATGATGTTTTTAAAGATATTTTTCAATGTCCAATCAATCTTTTGACTATAAATGTAAGTTTTTAAAATGGAATTCATAACAATTATCAGTAGGATTCATATTTAATATCAGTGATGAATAGGTTGGAAATGTAGAATTCTGAGGACTATTGTACATTAAATTGTTATATACATTATAGTTTTATCTTGTATTTATTAAATAATTATTCTATGATAATTTACTATTTCCCTAATTGTATGCCTTCATTTTATCTATCACCTGTTAGTTCATGTATTACAGTTAGTTAATAATGTACCCATGTGTACACTTTTTGTTCTAATATATGCTTATTCTCTGAATTAACTTTTAGATTAGTTCTTCGGCTGCAGAATTTAAAAACTCAACAAAATCCCATAAAATATTAAACAATGAACTCATCAGCCGTTTATGTGATCTCTTGAGTATATGTTGGGCAGGTGATTGGTTATCCGGTGCTGCTCGTCCTCCAAACGGTATCCGGTCATTGTTTTATTCACGAGCTACTCCTGGGCGTTTGGCGCTTTGCTTAAGTGTTGTACAACAATTGGAGTGTTTCAATGTTTAACACTTGTTGAATTCCTCTCGTACATAATGAAATTGGTAGCTTAATCTCTCCAAAGTAACTTCAGAAACGCGAATTACTTATTTTTTTGATGCTTATTTACTCATTGTTTTTCTCATTGTTCCTGATGCTATTGTCTTTCATCTGCGCTTCTCTTGTTCACTGAATGTTCATATAGTGTTATTCTGTTTTTCCCATAAAAGTATATTGAATAAATGTTCATTGTTCGTCTTGCATTTGCCGTTATACATCTCTTCCTTAAAGTAGTTTCCGTCTTCGTTTTTTTCGAAAACTACTTACCAAGTTCTTTTATTATAGCATTTTATTTCTAAGATTTTCGCTATGAAGCAACATGATAAAATTGATGTTAATGACTAATTGTCAGTCGAAATAACTCAGTCAAGCGACAATACTAAAAGCTTCTAATTCTTATTTAAACGATCCTTATTGAGGTAAACACTGATATTTTAGTCGAATAACTAATAGCCTTACCAAGGATTTTTAAGAACTTGATAGGCTGTGCGAAACTAAGCACTCAACGTGCCGTTGCTCATATACTGACCTCGCAATTGAGAATCAAACCTAAGGTCTTCGGTCTCGTGCACGACTGCTTAACCACTATATCGTCATCCGACGATGTTAATGCTTAGTATCAGTTCATCCATGGTCTAGCTCGAACCTTGTCCATTGCCCGCGCGGTCAACTGTTCTATGCGACAAGGCTCCAACTCCACTGATCACAGCTTCTCACTATCACTGCAGGAATATATCTTCAAGCTAGTTGCCTAATTGTCGTTATAGGGTTGTGGAGAGTTGTAAGTCTCATTGAAATCACGCAGTATTGTGGATAGGTTCGTGCGTGTCACTGGAAGCCTCGGGTCTATATCTCGCTTTCATTGGACTGACTAGGTGTTCCGTACTGGGCAGAATCAGCCGTCCAACGCCTTCAGATTTCTAATGGTTGTCTAACTTTGATTGATCCACGATTTCAATGAAATTAAGTAATCTCGGCAGCGTTATAATGACATAGCATATACATCAAGGAATAGGGAGGTATTTAATTCAGGTTTAGCCATTGAAAGATGGTTGCTCAATAGGCAGTGAGTTTTTGATAATTAGTACTTCTAAGAGAATTACAGGACTTATAGGCGAGTTACTGGATCCACGCGAAGTTACCTGAACGGTTGAGGTTAAAGTTGCAATTTTGGAATATATTCAGGTTCTATTCCTTGTAGTTATATTTATATATTACTGAATTCTTCTATCCTAAATTCTTATTTCGTGTATTTTCCTTTATTAATTATCTCGTTTTTCACCTCTAAATCTCTCTAGCATCATGTTAAGTAATAAGGTTGCAAGCACATCTTACGCTATAACGATCAGGAAAACTTGCAGAAGTATGGACGCCGGGGTTAACAGTGGGATGAAAATCCTAGTCTCGATCGACAGGGTTGCGAAAAAATTCAGGCCGTCACTCATAATCACTCAGAGTAGTGTTCATAGTTCGCAACCCAAACACCACTAAGTCTCAAACAGACTCCCCTGAATCCTGTTCCTGAAAACACTAGTAGGCTAAATAAAAATAGAAGGGAAATGCGTCTTAAGGCTCAGTTCACACGGTCTGTCGTACAGAAATCGCACGAGGATAACTATCGCCTGCTCGATGGCAGTTAAAGTTAGTGACTCAGCTTACGAATGCAATTTCTGTAGCAAATGAGTCCATTGTCACTGAGGCATTACAGTACCTATAGAGTACTATGGGTTCATGTTGAGTCACCCCTGCCCATGGTTCTGGTATATATGCCCACGATGCAGAGTATCTGAGGCCCCACCGAAAATCAGCTCGGAAGTCCCGACGGGCAAAGCTAAATCGCTTGGTGCCAAACCAGTAAAACAGGCAGCCAGAACTATAACCAAAACATCGACAAAACTGCCGGTTGTTTTTAATCCCCCAGCAGTAGGTGAATGTAAGAAAGGGGAACGGCAAAACCTGAACTCTTAAATGGCTGCCACTAAAGGACATGGGCGGTAGATTAAATTCATTCATTTTATTTAATGTATCAGTGTTGGAATGTAGCTTACTAGAAGACAGAGCCGCTTTCGATAAAGAGCAAAATACTGTGAAATACCCCAGCAAAAATACACCGCCTTTTCAAAGCTCAGAACAAGACTAGGCGCCCAAGAGCAGACCAGATTCGTAGTTCACGGCGTGCCCGAACTGGTTAGTAGTAGCTTGGGTGAAGCTAAGGTGCATGTGTGGTGCGCGCTACTTATAAGTAGTATATGACGCGAGTGTAAACGTAATGTCTGGCAGCAGAAGATGGGGGAAGATCAAGAAAGGAAGAGTGGGAACACAATGGAATTTGTATGAAACGCATGAATAGTGAAATGTCAGACAATGAATTGATGATTGATTGAAGATTTGCAAATTAACGGTTACGATATGGTTTTCCTATTTTACTGAGTAATTCTGTAATTTTCGTTAAATACAATTCGGTTTCCCTCACCTGTGTTCTCCTTCACTAAACATGATGTCCAACAGTGGCTGTGGCCATCACGTAGCCTGGTCCTTCAGACCACGATGGCCATTTGCATTTCTGGGCTGCCTCGCCCGTCACACCTCATGTCCATTAAATCACCAAATCTGATGGCTGTGGAATTCAGGAATCGGGAAGAACTGACTGAGGCACATCTAGCTTGGTACAATTTGAAGAACGACGTGTCTAGCCTCAGTAGATGTTCCGAAAGCCGACCCAGATCTGTGAGACATCACAGGGGAGGCCATAATAAACTCACGAAATTAACGGCTGACCTCTATCAACAACCCCTGGCACAAGACAGAATATAATAGCCTCGCCAATTGAACTCACTGCCCAGGACAAAGCCTGCAGAGACCAGTTCCCACAGAACTGGAAAAATCTGTATGAGCAAAATGTTTGAATATCCGACAACGGCGGTTGCTGCAGAGGTGTACGGGGTGCTGAGACAAACCACTGAGTGCCCCTATAGCAACTTAAGAGGACTCAGGGGTAATCTGTTAGAAATCAGGAATACGTGCTCTCAGATGGACCTGAAGATCATGATCCAAGCTGAAACCTAGCTATCCCCTGACATTGTAGACGAAGAATTGAACTTGAAAGTCATGACACTCTTCCGAAGCGATAGGGTACACCAAACTGGAGGCGGAGTGGCAATGTATATAAACAGCCACTTAAAAGACGAGCGGCTATACGACAACCAACTAACTGAGGTTACAGAATTGTTTTGATGTTGTTTCCACACAAATGGTACGAAATACTTGATTGGAGGGATTTACCGACCTTCCTTGGGTACTAAGGACCAGAAAGATAAACTTACTGAGGCAATACCGCAACTGACACTGCTGGTGTTTGATCAGATACTCTTAGCTGAAGATTTCAATGCCCCATCTCTAAATCTCAGCAATCAGGGTATAACTGCTACTGGTTGGTTCCAAAGACGACTTGGAGCTGCCATTAGCAGCTTTCAGCTTACTAAAAACGTATGCAGTGCCACTAGATGGACTAAGGAAGAAAAGTCCACAAACCTGGATTATTTGTTAACAAATGGTCAGCTACCGGTCGAGGATGTTCACGTCCATAGGCCAATAGGAATTAGTGACCATGACACTGTCTTGTTTAACATGGTCATAAACGAAACACTCACACAGTACGAAAACGAGCCCTTTCTTTTCTGCACTAGAGCAAATTATACGCATATTGGAGAGATCTTTCTCAAGTAACGCATTCAACTTACATCCTTGATCGAAGTCTGCTCCTTATTGTCCCCTGAGGACACGATCTCGGTTAAATAACCACAGAAAACTTGAATGCCATGTCAAACTACACAAGAGATTTAGCCAAGGCCAATGCAAATCTTCACTTGATGTGAAATCAACTTGCTGCTATCACCCCACATTCATTCTTAACGTTATTTACATCTGCACGCCCCCAAACCTGGAGGTTCACAACGTCATCGCACCCCCTTTGCTCGAAAGAGACATAAATCTCCTGGATTGAGTGCAGAGACGAGCAACTAAATGGGTGATATGATTGAAGAACAAACCTTACGTAGATAGACTGCAGAACTTGGGATTATCCTCTCTGGATTATTGAAGAATCAGAGGTGGTCTGATAATGACATACAACATAGATAAGAACACCGAATCATCCCAATATAAGCATATTGCCGAAGCATCACTACCATGCTCCTCGAGGTAATCCTCAAAAGATTGCACACGAAAAAGCAAATACTCAGGTTCGTGCACACTCTCCCATCAGTTGTCGTAACTTGGGATGCTCTCCCAGCCGAGGTGACCACAGCCTTCTCAGTGGACAGCCTTAAGAAGTGGTTTGATATACACTTACCCACAAACGGATTATCATATCCCTCGTTGACTAGAAGTGCCTGATGCATGTCTTTGGACCTGCTAGTTGATATTATTTGTCATCTCTTCAGGTCACTAACCTAATCTACCTCGCCTTTTTTCTCTGTTCCCTCTCTTTTGCTTGCTCTTCAGTCCTCTCACACAATCTTCACTATCAATTATTAGACTAAATTATCAATTTATACACTTAGTTCTGAAATCCTCTCCTTATTAGCACGAGTATTTTCCCCTTATTATTCTCCATACTGCAACTAACTTAAATACGGTCTGGTAATGTGATAGCTGCTGGTATCCAGAAACCCTACTGACCTGTAACATAAGTTTTCATTCAAATCACGGGACATACAAACTCTCAAACAATTGCCAACTGACTATGATCAGATAGTCGAGTAACTAGACTTTCATTCATTAGACTCTACCAAACGCCTGGAACCGAACCGGAAGAACAGGAATGGAGTGTGAATAAATCAATTGGTGTATACTAGTTCCTGAAAGAGATGCCGGTTACTGAACATCAATGTTTGCTGAAGTACTGTCTTGCTGTGAACTAACTTTGCTATCCCTCCAGTGTCCAAGGTTCACCGTGTTGCACAATCTAAGATAATTTCAGTGATCGTGCATAATAATTGGATAAATATGCGCAAAACTAAGTAGAGAGAAAACAATATTGGGCTGTAATTAGTATATAAGTATAAAAATTAACCGGAAAATGTTTAACCTCTTGTGTATGCATCCTTATCAGGACATTAATGAGTATTGCTCGGGAGTGTCCAAAGAGGATAGACTGGCTGTTCAGTTACCTGATCCTAGTTCATGAAAACCCAACACTAGTATCGAATCCAACTACACCAGATTCCATGATGTAAAAGAAGTAACTGAGGAGTTATTTAGATTTTTATGTTTCAATCAAATTAAATGTTTGAGGTTCACCTTCAGACACTTTGACTGTTATTTTCTAATCTGAAACTTCGTCTATAACTCACTTTGAACTACATCGTAA